ACTTGCTGAGGGTGCACTCAATCCCACAATGCTCTTTTAATAAAGAATGCTCTTTAAAAGCCTTCTCCATCCCCACCCCAAGGCACTGTTCATCCCTATGCCAAGCAGATGCAGCTGTACCACCCACCCCTTGGCAGAGGGAGGTCCCCTTAAAGCTTTAGGGTGTTCCAAAAGAAAATGGCAGCAGTCTCCCTGGGCCTACTCCAGGTGCTGTCAGGCCTGGCCCCAACATCTGCCTTGGAACCCGTTCTACAGGGACAAGACTCTGTAAAGGGTAAACATAGATGTTTTGACTTCAGGGGAGATGGATGTCGACTCAACACAACACAAGACCTGCCAAGCTGTTGCTACCACCCCAAGCCAACCTCCAACTTTCCAACTTGAGCACCGTGCATGTGGGATTAATGTTCCTGAAAGCCCAGCACTTTCCCCCAGACCCAGGGCACGAGGCGAGATCTTACCAACACACTGGCCATCTGGGAACAGGACAGGAGCTGCAGCAGGGCCGGGAGCAAGTCCAGGGAGAGCAGAGCGGAGCAGAAGAAAGGCTCATCCGCTAGCGTGGGCAGAGAAGGAACATCTCAATAAAATGGAGGTTTCTGAGGGAGGTCTCTGCAGACAAGATGCCGTGAGTCTGCCAAAAATCAAGGCAGGTCCCAGCGGCAGCTCTGGCTCTACTGCGAGCCCCACGGGACACTCACCTGTGAGGTTGTTCAGCAGCCAGAGACACTCCTGTACGATGAACGGGTGCTGCTGCAGGAAGCACTGCAGGATGAGGAAGAGGGCGATGAGCAGGCGCTCATCCTGGATCTGGCCTTCACAGCCTGTCTCCTCCGCCAGCAGGTTGCTGAGACATCGCAGCACTGGGCAGACAAGCTGTGACGGTGGGACACACAAAGCCCTTTAGCCAGACCGCATCCCCACAGCAATGCCGAGGACAGCCAGCACCCTGCCCGCATCTTACCAGCTCCAGGCCCTCAGGAGTGTTTTGGGGGATTTCAGAAGCCAGGTCAAGCAAGAAGGAGGTGAGGGCAGGCAAAGCCCCCAGGGACAGCAATGCCGCGTCAGCTGCATGGCTGCAAAGGGAAGGGACAGCGTGGTTGCTCTCCACCCTCACACAGGGCAAACCGCTGCCCCCAAACAACAGGGCTTGGAAATTCAGAGCGCTCTCCTGAACCACCATAGGGCTCATTTCATGTTTGAGTAGCAGCTTGTCTGAGCTTCTGAGAAAGTTTAAAAGCCCTCGGCAAACATATCCACTGGGATTATCCAGGTGGGTCTGGAAACGACAGCCCTGATCCTTCTTTGAGCACCCACATGTTCCTTTCTCTCCATTGAGGCTACTGAGCGATGGCACCGGAGCAGCCATGCCAAGGCAAGTGAAGATTGTTGACCAGCCTGGCCAGGTGACACTAGGCCAACCCCAGAAGCTGAAGGACTCAGGGAGCTTGCCTTGGGGAGTTTGGGGGACAACTCCAGATGTGGGGAGGTGACTAAGGAGGGTTCCAGAGGACTAGGAACAGCCTCTTCAGGTTTATCAACTGTTACCACCCTGTGAAGGAACTCAGTGACCCTGCAAACGGCACATGTGCACTCAGATACGAGAGCAGG